TCACAGAGTGGTCATAATTAGCTACTGCTATGTTGATAGAATCCATGGCCAGGTCCTTACCTGGCATCTTTCCAGACGTGAGAGAAAATTGTTTCAGTGAGAGTGATAGATAGTTCTTCCTTCAAGTATTATGATAGCATTTTTATTAGTTTCTTTAAAAGGTAGCCTGAGCCGTCAATTTTCACATACTGCCATCTCTTAAGAAATGTGGGACTAAAGTCCCTTTAAAGCATAAAGATATCTAAGTTGCACTATTCAGTCTCACAATCAGAATTCTTTCCCCCACTTGGCCAGGTGATAGAATCAACCTTCAGATATCTTATGCCCCTCCCATGCCATTTTGGATTAGGGATTGAGTATTCCTGGCATTCTCCTACACTTTTTTTTTCTGGGTAACTATTGCGCTTTTTTTTTTTTTATAACTAATCCTTTTTATCTTAGCATTGGTGATACTATGTGACTCTTCAGAGATTCCTGGTGGGTGCTTTTTCAAGTTGGCTGTCTGTTTGCACAGCTAGACTTCTATTCCTTTCTCCTCTGCTCCTGGTACCACTATACATGCATAATGGTTAAGGAGAGAGGCTTGTATCTTGTGCATATAATTCAATTAGATTTCATGCTAAAGCTATGTTCTTAACTTCTTGCAGGAGAAAAGTAGAACCAAAAGAATAAACATACTAATGAGAATTATCTTATATTACAAAGGCAGTATTATCTCCTGCATTGATTCCAGGTAAAGTTAGTGGTGTTCAACAATTACAGATTTTAAAAGCATGATAATTTTCCTATTGATATGGAACAACAGCAGTCAACCTAGGTCCTGATCCTTGTTTTTCATGTGAAAATGGAGAAAGAAAGAAAATTACAGAGAGCAAACAATCCTAAATCATGTTCTTAACAATGTAAAGATTTCATGAATGTCTTCCCATAGGACTAAATTTGAATTTCTTGATTCAAATGCCTGCTAAAAATGAAGTGAGCATTATGAAAAAGTAAAGCAATAACTATGCTTGTGAATACATGTGTGTATATATATTTTTCTATTTTTATTTTTTAAAAGGGATTTGATTTATTTAGTAGTTTCCAAAAAGATTCCTAATATTGCCAGAGGTGACCTGGTGTGGAGAATTGGAGGAGGAGGAAAATGTGCCGACTCTTTATGCCCTACCAGTTCCACAGAACTACTCTACTTTTGTTTCCTTCAAATATAGGATGATTTAAATAAACTTATATATTAATATGGATGTATATAGCAGATTTATGACTTTATTTATAACTAGGATAATTGTGGATATTTCTATGAAAGATTCCGTATTAGCTATAACCCTGAGGAGTGGGGTGAGTATATTTTAGTGTCCAATATACTGGTTGAGTCAAGAAGGCTCAAAATGAGATGCCAGCACAGAAGGAGATGGACACAGGCAGTGAGGGAGGATGGGGACTCCCAGCCAGCTGAACAAGTGAGCCAAATGCTTCCCAGGGATCTGTGGGAAGGATACAGATCTCTTCCTGCTCCATGGGATGGCCAGCACCAGTTAGAATTTAAAATGCTTAGTTTCCTGATACTTCATCCTAAGATTTACCCCAACAGGATATATTTCTAAAAGCTCTTAACTGAGTGCAAAATGTATTTTCTAAAATGTCCATGTTTTTCCTGGTACAAAGATCTATGCCCTAGCTAGAATAAGTGACATGCCCAGGGTAGGTCACGAAGCTAGAGATAAGATGAAGATTCCCTAATTTCTTATTGATGATTATTTTTTTTCTACTTCAGTGATTCAAAACATCTTGGGAAGCTGGTGAGTTCTGATTTCCGATGCACTGTCACAAGGTGGCCTGAGCACAAACCATCAAGTAGCAGAGCTGTTTCAGATGAGGCTGGGCTGGGGAGGGGACTCTTACCCCAACCTACATGATTCCTCCTTTACTTTCTCTTATCTCCACCTGGAGGTTCCCCATCAATCATAACTGAAAAATGACTGTTGTTGGCATAGTACTGACGATTTGGAGTTCTAAGTTTTCCCGATAGTCCTTTTTTTCCATCTTAAGTAGGTAATAATGGAAGGACTAAATATACTACACTTACTACCCTGAGACCAGGAAGGGAAAAAAATTGAAAATATTTCAGCTTTTATCTTGCCTTATTAGGTGAAATTAAAATGGTATGATATGTACTTATAGGTTAATGCCCTATTAGGTGAATAATTTATTGCTTACATAATTGGAAATTGATTATTTACTCAATTGATTGAGTAAATAATCAATTCCCAATTATGTAAGCAATAAATATACTGCCTTTGTAATATAAGATAAATTCTCATTAATATGTTATTAGTAGTGGTTATCTTCTTTTATGACATGACCATGCTTTCCTAAACATTCCTCTATAAAGCAAACATAAAATCCATTTATATATTATGGGAACTCAAAATATCTAATCTAATTTGTTGAAAGATCATATATAACATCACTTTGATTTTTTACAGAACTGATTAAATCACAATTATGCTATCACGTTAACAAAAAGATATTCATTCTTCCAATAGCCTCCTCTCCTCCCTCCTTACCTCAAAGTAACACCCTTCTGTTGCATTATTGCACAAACATGGTTTTAATGAACTTTTACTTACACCATATTATCTAATTTAATGTAGGATAATAGTAGGCAAAATATGTATTATTATTCTTTTTAGCAAATTAGAAAAATTGAGGTTAACAGAAGTCAAGACTTGCCAAAAGATCAGAAAAGTCAAAACTAGAGTAATGGTGACAATGTCCTATTTTTTCATTCCCCTGTTCCACCATGGGCACCATTCATATCACAAACAAGAAAATCAACCTCCATTATAGGGGAAGGGGACACCTCCAAAAGACTCTCTCTCCATTCAGGAGGTTGCCTGAGTCTATTCAAAAACAACATTGAACCTTTAAAACCTGTGTTCCCTAACACAATTCTGACACTCAAAAAGGGTGAAAAGTTTCCAGTTCAGCAAGTGCTAAGAGCTATTTGCCATCAGTATAGATCAGTTAGCCTAGCAAACACTCACTTTAACAAGTGCTACTGAGAAACTGCAGTGTGTGCAGAACAGGGCTTAAAAAGGAATCAGGAAAAAAAATGTAAAAGTGACTATTTTTCTTTTCTGAAAATAGAACCCATGCAGACAATCAACATTTTGTTTTACACCAACTATACCCAAAGAAAGCCCAAATATAATAAAATGATGAATATTACCATTGAAACTACATTAATTGAGCTATACCCCCAACTTCCCCCATCCCTACAAAATCCAGCAAAACAAGGGACTCAGAATGATAGAAAATGGAGAGAGTGGGAAAGGAATTTAATAATTGCTTAGGGTATGAGTTTCAGTATTTATTTATTTATTTAAAAAAAAACATGCTTTTTGTGTAAAGAAGATGATTCCTTTTTTCAATGTGATTAAAAATCTGTCCAGGACATTGGTAGAGCACCCCTGTCTCACAGAGACTTCAGTCAGCATGATCAGTGTCTCAGCAGACTGGCAACAACTGTAGGAATTTAGTGATTTAAGAAATGGGGAGGAGTGGGAAATGCTGGTGTTCTTTGGAGAAACCTTGCTGTGTTCTGAATTCTTAATTTTAGGTCTGGTATCTTTGTCTTTGGATAACAGCTCTTATTGAGATAGCATTCTGGGGGATTCTCCAACATTGGCATTTTTAAAAATTAAAAATTTAGTAACTTATACATAAAAACATAAAAATTATACACAGTTATGATGTAGCATATGTTATTTTGGTATATGTATACATTGCAAATTGTTTAAATCAGGTTAAACGTATCTGTTTCCTCAAATACACAGCATTTGTTCATAGCAGAATCTTTCAATATTCTTTTTCCTAGGTATTTGAAATGTACAGTGTATTGGGTTTTAAGGTAAGCCAGACTTTGTTTTTCTCACWTCAGGCTTATCATCATCTACAGCAAAATCATTTTCATGTTTGTGATGTGAATTATTCATTAGTATAACTACATCGCATGCTGATATTAGAAAAAAGGATTGAAATAACCCCAGATAAGATGAGAAATGGTGAGAGAYGGTGGGGAGAAGAAAGATTTACTTGCACTGCCTTTAAGGACATTTTCAGAAAATGTAGACAATTTATTGCTTTGCTGATTCTATGCAGGAAAAAGATAGACACATCTATTACTCTTTGTTTTCACACTCATAATTTCCATATCTGTAACTAGGCCATAAATGAGAAGAAATAAAATAAATCAAATTATCATTGATAAGTTTATCAACTTAAGGCAGTGTGACTTCCTAGAGTTAAAAATTGTTCATTTATATTTTTAAAATGTACTATTATTGTTACACTTTGCAGTGATGGGGACTGAAGCCAGGGCCTTGGTCATACTAGGAAAGTACTCTATCCTGAGTTGTATCCCTAGACAGGAAAAATATGTTTTCTTTTAAGCAGAAAATATTTGTTTTATCAGTCTTTGAAAAAATGTGTAGTTCCAGAGGCTCATTAGAATTATCACAGTTTGTTGTTTTAAGTTTAATTTTCCAAAGTAGGCTGATTTGTTTTAATTCATCCAATGATTGAAATATTCTCTCTGGATATTCTTCCTTTATGTTTACATCAGTGTATAGCACTGTGTTGGAAAAACAAGCTTTGCTGGTATTGATAGTGTGGCTCAAGATAAGTCAGGAATAATTATTATACTCCAAGCAAAAGAACATTCTCTCTAGTCCATATATTTTTCTAACTGAAAATTTACTAAGTATTCTAAAATTCTCTCAACTGGTTTAGAAAACACACTGAAAATTCTCAAATGTAGAATAGGTAGATGCAGCTGTGAATGAACTCAAGAGGTTATAGTGCAACAACTGGGCAGAAACAGTGGACCTAGTTTCAGTAATCAAGTCCATACTTTCACRGGGCATGTCTGGCCTTGCCTTGGGCCACATCCTACGCCTTGTGCTGGGTCATGTTGATACTGCTAAGGTTATGCTTACGGTCTGCCAGGTCTGCTAAGGTTTGTGGTGAAGACGTTTTTAATAGCCTCATTCTGTGTCTTAAGACTGTGAATGGAAAAACACAAAGTTGGAATTTTGGACAGAGAAAATCATTGGGAAAGCTAGAATTAAAATAATCAACATGGGAGTCCAGAGTGAACAAAGAGCTGGTAGAGGTAAGTGGTTTGAGGAAGGTAGTATAGATTAAACAGCTTTTTAAGCAGATAATTATTAAATACCTACTGCTGTCAAGAAATAGATTATTTATTCTGATGTGGTCTCAAGGTTATATAAGTGGAGGTAATAGCAAGAACAGTTATTAAGGCATTTAACAAGAAGGGAAGACACAGAGCTCAAATTGCAGACTGTTGAGGGCCATATGTGTTCTTTTAATCTGTTAAAATCTTCTCCTTATATCTTTGACTCAATATTTTAAGTCAAATCAGACAATTCTCAACCAGTGATGTTCAACTTCTCTCAAAGATGCAAGCAAATCATGCTTTCACAAGAGTCTTATGGATTTCATTTTAGCATTCTTAGTCTTGTTCATTTTCCTCATAATTAGATTAAAGATAGAATCATATTTTTCACATGAAATATCAAAAAAATGGCTATAATGTGCAGGATGTTTTGCTAAAGGGAATTCTCTATTATTCTGAAACTCAGGAGTGTGTATGTATGTATATATACATGGAGAATCTAAGCAAGCACCCTATTTCTATTCATGTAGAATCTAAGCAAGCACCCTTCACTCTCTCAATTCTTCGGCTGAGACCATTTTATTCCCCTGGTCAATTCCTTGCCTTGAGACATGAAGTTTGTTTTGTATCCTCATTATTAATTTATGGAGCAGTAAATGCCACCACCCCCATCTAGCAGGAGGCAGTATCACTGAAGGATGAGACTTGGAATCAAATTGGTTTTTGGAAAATCATAGTCAATGCATAATTAGTATACACAGCTCAGGTGTGGATTCTATCACATCTGAAGTTCTAAAACATGAAGTGCTCTGTTCTTTACAGAACTAGGGAGAAGGAGTAGAGGCATGCCAAAGGGCATCATCTTAATTTTTAAATGTGTTTGGTTGAAAAACTTTCCTTCTGCCTGGGGCTTTGCTAGGAACAGCTAAGACTCTCTGAGGATATGAACAAAAGCCCTACCAAACAGAGAGAGTGAAAATGAGAGCAGGGAGGGACCCTGGGGCTGAACTTGTTGAAACCTTAGGATAACTCACAGGATCAAGAGGTCTAAAAAAGAAGGCAGAGAAAAAAAAATACAAAAGATAAAGGTTTTGGGCAAATTACAGAAACCTATTTTTTTGGCTATTTTGTTGGCTGATGAAGGCCCTATATTAATCATTGTTGTTGTTACATTTGATAAAGTACTATCTTTAGCCTGCTGATAAGTATCATTAATGTAGTTCATGCCTAGTGGGAATGAAACCCATCATTTTCTTAAAATGCTGAAAGACAGGCAGTTTTGGTAAAAGAGGAAATTCTGTATTGTCTATTAGCAATGCTACCAATTCAAATTGGGCATGAAATAACTGAGACTCACTGGTATAAGTGGATAATTTAGTGGTAATAATTTGAATTCAAAGTGCCTAGATTTGAATCCTGGCATTCCTAGATGTGAGAATTTGGGCAAGTTAATTATCTCTCTAATATTTTGTTTCCCCATTTTTAAAATGAAAATAATGACAGCACCTGAGTCATAGTGTTGTTTTTTTTTTAAATAGAAATGCTATRTGCATGTGCAAATATGGCATAATGAATCCAAATATTATGTATAATTATAATACACCAATAAAAATAATTCTAAAAGTAGAATGATATGATATTTAAAAATATTTTTTTAAAAAAATGGAATGGAACTCAGTTAAAACACTTATTACATTACCTGATACATAGTAAATGAGTTACAAGTGTTACTTATTATTATTAATTAATTTCTCAATCAATTCAATAGTGAATTCTAGTAAACATTTTAATCAGATAGGAATGGAAGTGAACAACTACCAAGGCTGTGTACCTGTTAAGGCACAATCTGTGAGCAAAATGCATCTATGTAGGTCTAGGTAAAATGCACAAGCCTGGTCTCCTTCATAGATTGGGAACTCTACCCTACATCCTACTTGATTAGAATTCTGAATAGAACCTGACACTGTTCCCAGGGATTCAAGTTCTCTCTAACTTAGCTTCTTTGCATCCACTGAAACAGTGCTGTGAATAGACCTCTCTACAAGACTACACTGGTGATTGGTGATATGAATCCTACAGGCCAGAGTTTTAGATTTTGAATATCATTCAGAATACATATGAACATCTCCCAAGCATTAGTCCACAAAACACTAGTTCTGGGAAATGCTGATGGATATCCTTTTGTCATTATGTCTGGAAGGACTTCCTTTTACTTCCTCTTGGAGAAATACATTTTTGCATTAGCATATTAAAAGCTATGAGATGATTTCCTTTTAAAAACGTTCTTGCTTAATTATGTTAATATCTGAATTTTAGATTTATTTAACTCTATAACATTTTTAAGATTGGAACTCTTAGGTTAGGTCTGTGAAATGGTGTTGTAAGGAATACGGTTTAGAAAAATGCTAGCCTAATCCTGAGTCATTGGAAATTCAAACACCTCCTGGGGTGACCCTTTGACCTTCAGGTGAACCATTTGGTGTCACCTTCTTTTCTACCATTTTCTGTGACCTAGTTTTCTAAAATTCTTTTCACCATCCGCTAATCTCATGCCATAGATCATGATCTAATGGCTTTGGCTTATTAGGGTTTTATATTTCCTAGTCTAATGACTCCTCTCCTAGGTATTCTTTTGGCAGGAATATAATTTTTTTTAAATTTCTTTAGGTATATATTTCTGTTATTCAGGTTTCTAGGGCAATTTATACTTGGTACAAGACATGTATTCATTTTCTGGCTTTAGAAAATATTTCTAGTATGGCAATTAAAGGCACTTCATGTAAATTTGAACATAACTATCATCTCTTAATATTAGATGGAAAGTATGAAGCAGGCCCTTGAGCTATATACTGCTGATATTTTATGACATGTCAACAAGATAACTTGTTTGTGTTCCTATCCATAATGGATTGTTTCATCTTAAAACTCTGATTAAATTAGTTGTGCTCATTTGTATTCAACTACATCTTTCAACTTGGCAACTCTCAGTAGCAGTGGCATTTACCCCTACATGCACTAAAGTCAAGTATCTTTCTAAACTTCTGGTTTTGCAAGGTTATGGTATAGTACCTCTACAGAATTTTAGAGCAAAAAGGTCACTCACAACTGCCTAGCTTCCCTATGCCTTGGATATTTTTCTAGTTTATTGCTAGGTATGTTCTCTTTATGACATTATTTCTTCCACTGTCTCTCTAAGCATTTCCTTGATTTTATCAAAATTTCTTCTGTCTCAATTAACAAAATCCCCTATGACTGTGCTTCCATATTCTGAGATACTACATTGGGACACAGCTAAAGTTTGTGCCTTATCAGATATCCCTCTCAGTTGTGTATTCACCAGGTAGTCAATGGTCAACATATGTTAGTTGACTGAGAGAATGGATTATTGTTGGGCCCAATTGCCTGGAAAACCCTTGGTCCCCAAATTGGGAACCCTCCACTTCCATCTGTGCAACATTCCTTACTTCCTCTTCATTGTCTTTATCAAACAGATACCTTATCCCCATCAAAAAGGGTTGAGAAGGAAGTGGTTTATAGTAGATACTGAATAATAGGTCAATTCGAATGAAGAAAAGGAGGAAGTATTTCCCAGTGATGATCCTGGCTAGCCTAGAGAGTACAAAGGCTGATGAGCATGGGATGTGGTCAAGGAAATGCAGAATCTGAAAGGGAAAAGGGATAATTAAATAAAAATCCATGGCTAGACACATAGATCATTAGAGAGACCCATCCTTGCATTTTATTTTTATCTGTCATAGCTGGAATAAGGCGAATCATAACTACATTGTTATAAATGGGAGAGAGATCTTAGGAAATAGATGAGGAACAGAGGCAAAGAGTTAGTGAGGTGTAAGGAAAAATTGAGACGAGGAAGATAAGAGAAAGTTGACCCCTTTGTTGCCTCCTGTAAGGAGTTGAACAGTAGGGAAAGAAAACAAGAAGAGATGAGAATACTCAGAGAACATCAGTGAATTGGAAAGATAGCATTGAGAAGAATAAAAGTGTTGACTTTAGATCATTCAGAGGCAGGTCTGATCAAAGAGATGTCATTTACTGGTGTGTGACCCAGAGGAAGTTACTAGACTTGTTCAAATTCGCTTTTTCATTAATAAGACAGGGTAACAGCAGTGACTGCTGGAAGTGGAGGGATGAAAGGTAATAAACTGTTGTTGTAAGGCTGCATTAGAGCTAACATGTGGGCCCTTGTTCTGTGCAAGATCAAGCACTTTACCTGTAGACCTTCATTTAATCCTTGCCCCCACCATAAGGAAAAGGTCCTATAATTATCCTCATTTATAGAAGAATAAACTAAAGTTTGGACAGGTTAAATAAGCTGCCTGGAAAACACAGATGTTAAGTAATAAAGCTGGAATTTAAATCCAGTCTGTTCAACTCAATTGCAAATGTTCTCAACCGCTAAACCATATTGCATTGTTTATTTGTGGAAGAATCTACAAGAATAGGTTAAGAACAAGGAAATTGACCTTAAAAAAATCTCAGAGAAGTAAAACCTGATCACAGAAGGATTTGAGTAACATCCAGAGATCATTCAGTACCTTGAAAGATAAAGGAGGAGAAAGCATGTGTCCTTACAGAGAAGGAAGAACATAGTCCAAAGTCATCCTCCAAAAAAAATAACATTAATTTGGAATCTCAAATTAAACATAAGAATAAAAAAATAGGCTTTTTACTTTGTATCTAGTTAGTAGAGACACATAGATAGAGATAATCCCTGGCATGAAGATAAACCTAAAGAATAAGAGCAGGGTTGCCCAGAACAGTACATGGACATATAATTATGCATTAAAAGTGATTTCTTTGGACAATATGGGTAAATTCATAAATGATGATG